CTACTAGTACATGAAACAAGCTAGCTGTCTCCATCCATTTCCCAGTGGGAAGATGTGTACATAATAAGAAATCATCATTGCAATTGGTAGTGTTCCTGCCAATTGCAGCAGAGGTCAAAGATTGTATGGGCCTAGAGATTAACCTCCCATTGCACCAGTAAAGGCAGTCCCTTCAGCAGATGGTTAAGTACATTAGTGAGACAGAGTAGGGACACTTGAATATGTCATTGCCTGAAATGTATCAATTCATTTTTCAGAGTTGTCAATCCAGCTCTTCAACTTCAATGAACTGCAATGGGGAACTGAAAATAAGCCAGTTCCTTCAGTTTCTCATCCCTCACTAAAATACTCTGACTATCCCCAACTCTTGAACCCTAGCTCTCCTTTCCCCTCTCCAGAATAGATTATCCACTGCAACACCCCAAAGAAACTCCCCACATCCTATTGTGATTCACAGCCACAGATTCCTGACAGTTATTTGTTCCTTTCCATAATATATGGAACAGTGGAACATTAGATTGCTCTCACTGTTAAAGAGCCTGGCAGAAATGCCATGGAAATCCTGACTAAAACTGGGCAAACACTTCCTGTAAAAGTATAAATATGTCCCAAGACCAGGCTTGAGATTGCTGAATTGAACTTGAATAATGGAATTCATTGTTAAGATTTGAACTGGCAGAACTCTTTATTGGTTGGACAGAATTGCCAAGATCCTTGGCTACAGGTGAGGAGCACATAGCTATGCCCAGAATAGGGATGGGCCTTTGCCCTGCTCTGATTCTCTATTCCATATATTCTGTTCTGTCCTGGTTCTTATGGCAGTGTTTCCCAAACTCGTGATGCCACTTGTTTAGGGAAAGCCCCTGCCTGGCCGGGCCGGTTTGTTTACCTGCCGCGTCCCCAGGTTCGGCCGATCGCGGCTCCCACTGGCAGCGGTTCGCTGCTCCAGGCCAATGGGAGCTGCTGGAAGCAGCGGCCAGTACGTCCCTCAGCCCTTGCGCTTCCAGCAGCTCCCATTGGCCTGGAGCAGAGAACCGCGGCCAATGGGAGCCGCAATCGGCCGAACCTGCGGATGCGGCAGGTAAACAAACTGGCCCGGCCCACCAGGGGCTTTCCCTAAACAAGCAACATCCCAAATTTGGGAAACACTGTCTTATGGTGTACCCATCCCCATGCTATATGCTGGGCAAATCCTCTGATGTAACTTAGGCTGCTCTATTTTACACCATCTGGCAATAGCCCTAGTGAGCCATTATGGCAGGTGAGACTCACTGAGTGTATGGAAGCCCCAGCTAAGCTCCATCACAGCTTCACCATCCACACCAGTACCCAGAAGTTGGTGGGAATGGGTGGCATGGGAGCCACTCTGCTGGCTCTAGACTACTAGAGGAATCCCAACACTGGGATGATCTTCCAAAAGACAACTACAATGGCTTAAGGTCCAGAATCTACAATTGGCGAGGTGCAAATAGGCTGTGCTGCACTGCACCCTAGGATGTGGGCCAGTGCATACAATATAGATCTTGGCTGATCCTTTTAATTGGCCTTTGTTTAGTTCTTCCCCAGGCCCCAAATGAGGAGATTGTCTATACTGGATTAAATCCCTATGGCTCCCCAATGATTTTCTAGTTCTTATTCCTATAAAGTAAGAGCTTTCACCCTGAAGTTAAAGGTTTAAATAACCTCTTTTTTCCCAACCCAAACCCCACAAACTTTAGAAAGCCTGGGAATTCCCAGTCTCCTCTTCCACTTGCTTAACTAACCCCAAATATTTGAAGTTATGTAAATGCATTGTTTATGGTCACCCAAATGACCTGTACTTCAATTGAGCTATTAGCCCTTGATTAATTTGACCTGAGAATGTTACCAGAAAATCCAAACCCCGTCATTAACTGGTTCCCTTTCTAGCAGTCTCAACAAAGAGATCAAGGACTGGTTGAGTATGGAGACTCCCGCCATGAAGATTCCAGTTTAGTTCTGTGTCAAGGTAGAGACATACTGACAAGGCAGCAAAGTGAAGATTGCATTGCTGCTAGTGTCCTTGCTGTAACTATTAACAGAGGGCTTCAGACTCCAAGGATGTCAGTCAAACTGGCAGCTTTCACAAGCACTAAAAGAAATTTGAAACTAAATTTTAAAAAATGCAGAAATGTCATAGCTAGACAGTGACATAAGGGACAAATATACTACAGTTGATAGTTGTTTAGGCTAAGGCCTGTGAAACTGTAGTACTGTACTACAATTAGCAAAAACTGCATTAGATTAAAAAAAATCCACTGAAAAACACTGTTAAATGTCAAATTATGTTGCCAACATTTCACTAAACTTTACTGGTGGAAAGAAGTATTCTATTCTGTCCCTTCCTCCATTAATATAACCATATGGGGCATAGCTATTTGGAAATCTTTCAATTACCATTTTGCATAAGGCACCAGATTTCTATGTCATCTTGAGCCAAACTTCTCTCCTATGTGTATTTTGTGAGTGTGCCCTTTGATTTTTCTCAGCATAATGCCATAGCATTATAATGAGAAAAATCAAAGGGCACACACACAAAATAGTTGTAGTTTTTATTTTTTGTTTAAACAGATCATTATTTTAATAGTAATAACATACACTATGGTGACTGGAACTTACAGGATGCTTTCAGAGTTACTATGATGGACAGAAAAAAAGAGCATAAGGGCTTTCAACTAAAGCACTAAATTGTGAAATTAATCCCTTCACATAGAAAGAACTTGCAGAAATTTCAAGAATATATTTTTAAACATTGAGTGATCCTCTTACTATCTGAAGTGGCTGAAGACGTTAGACATTAAGCATCTTGCCTAAACATATTAGACAGCGTCTTTCATGTCCTGCCTTAATGCTTAAAATATCACAGTGCCATTCCTTTGCAGTTATGTAATTATTGTATGTTGATATAAATAATAGCTGTGGTTTAAGCCTCCCTGTAAAAATGTTCTATGTAGCTTTTAAAGTCTACTCTTGTAAACATTTTAGGAATGGAAGCAACAAAATTAAATCAAATATATTTTCTTCAAAATGTCAGCTTAAGTTTCAGAAGAAATGTATTCAAATAAGAGAACAGTTTGTATATTAGAATTCATGGCTTTGATAAAATAATGTCAATACTAATATCAGAGCAGGCGTGGCAGTAACTGATATAGTAAAGAACTCATAGAAGTTTCTAGACTAACCTCCAGCTACACTGCAAACTCCTGCTCAATGTTTGCTTTTAGGGCTTCCATTTTCCACAGGTACTCTGCTCAAAGGTGAACTGCTTTAGAAAGCAGGACAAAAACAGCTGCACACTGAAAAATGTAGTGAAAGTGCAGATGGCATGAGGCTAGGACTCCATGTTAATAGACTACAATGTGTTTTCCGCTGAATCAGGGAGTGATCCATTCTCTCAGTCCACCTACCCAAAGTTACCATTTTTGCATGAACTTATCTACTGAAGAGAACCAGATGACTTCAGTCAGACTTGGTACAAAGTACAGTATCTTGAATTAAACCTTTTGCTTCTATTCTATGGTAAACTATTTGTTCTCTAAAAATATTATCCTTTGATACAGACAAGGTGCTACTCTTCCTGCAGCCCAGGGGAACACAGTTCTCTCTCCTTGGGCTCCCTGCAGCAACTGACTGTCTCTGGCCTTGCAGTTCCTTTTTTGTAAGCCCACTGGGCTCTGATTGGCTGCTCTGTGCAGCCTTTCTCCAATTGGCTGCTCCTTGCGCAGCCTCCCAGGCTGCTTTTAACACCTTCCTTTCTGGTGTGGGGTGAACACCCCATCACAAACCCCACTAAAACCAATTGAATTATAACATCTTTACACCAGATTAATGCACCAAAGTGGAAAAAGGGGCAGGGAGAGAGAGTCTGCTGTTCCAATAAATTTCCAAAAGACAGTATCATAACGTTTTCATCCAGACTCTCTAATTTAAATATTTCCTAATCCACTTCCAAGTGTGGTCCTGGTACATTTGAATAAAACAACTGTAACCTGTGGAGGTAGGGCTAGTGTCATCTTGGTCAATGTGAGTTTCCGGGTCAGAATTAGGTTTTATGGGCCAGAGCTTCAGCCAGTGTAAATCACAATAGCTCCATTTACTTCAGTGGAACTATGTTGATTTACACCAACTGAGAATCTGGCCCTATATGTTTTGTTCCTGACATCAATAGAGGGCTGCCAGCCCGTGTCTGAAATCTATCCAGGTTTGTAAGATCGCCCATCACCAGATTATCAGAGGGAAGTGAAACCAGTACGTGCTAAAAAACTAGAAGAAGAAAATTTTGAGATTAAATGTCTTTTTTTAGACAATTTTTAAATGATAACTTTCAATAGCTTTTAAAGAGTTGATGGGAGGCAGAGTAGTACAACATTTTACAACTGTACTCTCATGAAAACAGACTACATTCAGACTGTCTCCTAGCAATTTCTCTGCTTTTCAAATTTCCCATGTGACATAGCTTCTTTCCAAGAAAGATTGAAATACCCAACATTTATTGATGATTTATTTAGTTCTTAATACCAAAGAATCTGCAAAATTAAGCAATCTCTGTTACATCCGATAAATCTAGAAAATTGCATTGAAATCAATGCAATGACAATGGTGGAACTACCAAGATATTTCGGATCAGAAACTGGCACTTTTGAGTCTCACTCACATATGTATAGATACAGGCCATACTATAATCCTTAGAATACAGCATAGGTGACTTTGAAGAGCACTAGATTCACAGGAGCTGGGTTTTTTTTAAAGAAGCCTCTTTGAACTTTGATTAGATATTAGGTATGGAAATGGGAATAGCTCATATGAAACTGTTATGACTCTTATTCATTAGTTTTGATCATTTATTTTTCAGAGACCTGTGCATTTAAAACTATTTTTTCCTCTGTAAGCAGTATAACCACTTGTACCTACATATAACCTATATTTTAGTCTTTATGCTCTTCCCATACTCCTAGTATTCACGACTATCACACCAGACTCACTTTTTGGGAAAGGATCTCTTCATTCCCTCACTTTTGACCAAGTGCCTAGATCAGGATACCTCTCCTATTTCTGCCTCTCTTAAAGTTGGAAGACAGGTTGTTTCCCTTTTCCTAGAGGAAAAAATAGAGAAAAATAATTAAAACAGATTATAGAAATGCATGATCATGCCTCAAACTACTCTTTATAAAATCACCATTAGACAGGTTATAACCTTATGTTACTAGTATTATATGGATCCTACACGATACAGTATCCTTGATCTTCCCCCACTTCTGCATGTGTTCCCTAGCCATGAGTCTGTCTCATTAAGCCAAGCTGTCCTCTCTGCCAATGAGAAGCAGCCTGATCTTTTATGAGAGCTCAGTGGGAAACAGTTTTCCCATCCCATGAGAATTTTTGAAAGAATTTTCCAATCTTGAATTGGGACAAAGTCAGAATCTTGAAAACTTTTGAGAACTAAAAATCTGAATTTTTTTATAGGGTCAGTTGAAACATTTCATTTTGATTTTGACTTTTAAAATTGTTTTTTATTTTTAACTAAAATTTTGAAACAGGTTGTTAATTTAAAGTTTCAAATTAAACATCAGAACTTTTAATTTCAAAAAGGTTGAAATAAGACATTTTGACAATTTAAAATTGCTAGTAATTCATTCAACATTCTTCATTAGTTACATAGTTAACAGATATACAGAGCATCGTAACTCAGGTCAGTCTATCACTCCCAGTGGTTCTCAACCTATTTACCACTGTGGGCCGCATGTGTAACTCTCTGTGTTATGTGGGCTGCATCCTGTAGCCCATAAGGCCAGTTTGCTAGCTTGCTATATTGCACAATATGTTTGCTTTTGGTTTGATTCATATTATTTTCATATCTTATTAGTGAATCATAGTATTTTTGGGGGTTTTGTTTATGTTGAATGCCAGTTTATGATATTAATAAGAGTTATCCATAATAGTTGGCTGTAATGCAAGTAACCTACAGGCCTGTATCCTGTATGATTAGCTAGAGCAAGTCAGTATGAGTGTTTGCAACCTTTGGCATAGATAAAGGGCCTACTGGTCGCTCCCCTTAATTTTGGGGAACTGAATGGGGAACCGAACAAAGAACTGAATCTGTTTACCTTAGGTCTGGAGTAGACTGGTAACTGCAGGGCACACTGCAGGACATGGACGTCATGAGTTAGGCCAAGGGTAACGATTTCAGGAATGCGATAATTGATACTAATATGTATGAGTATATGTCATAATATGTTAACCTATAGAGTTAGTGTACCTGAAGATTTATGTGGGTGAGGAAATAAGATTTGGGCATGATAGGTTGGGTCTAGATTGTGGTAGTGGGCAGTACCAGGACCCTATAAGAGGGCAAACAACCATGCAGGGGGGTCGCTTTTTCCTATCTTCTATCAAGCTATCAGCTCAGCTTTGCAACACAGCTTAGCTACTCAACACTCGAACCTAATCCCTACCAACTTGGGAAGCCTGGACCATCAGTTCCTTGGGCATGCCAGAGACGAGGCTGGTCCTCTGTCTCTTACTACCAGGTCTTCAAGGAAGGGTCTGAGTATGCTAGCTCAAGTAGTCTTTTAGAATAGAGATGTTACCACCAGGGGTCATAGAATTGTATTACTTCTTTGTGATTCTGTGTTTTGTAACATTTATTCTTCTTTCATTTGTTTTAATAAAGATCTTAACAAGTTGGTCTGCTCACGATATTGAACTCTCTGTGTTCTCAATCCCTGTAGCCTGAATTGCGACAAGAACCTAAAAAATCTTCTGCTCACGTCAGTGGCGAGCCATAGTAAAACTAGCCCATAAATTCAGGTCAACAATCCACACAATATATATACTACCTGTATGGCCTGGAAGATGTCACATGGGTTGCAGCTATGTGCTGATTGGGCTGCAACTGGCCCATGGGCCATGGGTTGAGAACCTAACCTAAAACCAACTGTCAGCTTGAACACCCTGAAGAGTCTATTAATTCTCTTAAAGCCACAATAAAACCACACAACCTATTCCAAAGGAATTTCTTGATATTATCTAGCCCAACCACCTCCATCCCATTACAGTGGGAGTAAATAATCAGTCTCCTCTCAGAACTCCTCTTCCAGGTTTTCACATTCCCAACAAAGGAATAGTCTTTGTTTCAGCCCTGTCTTGCTTTAAGGAATAGAACAAACCAGGAATGGCACCTTTTGAAATAAGCCTTTTGTCATCTGTTTGTAACTATATCCTTTTACAGGATGAAGTAAGCAGAGAATGTAGATTCCTTATGCTCTCAGACCCATAACAATCTGTACAAACTCTGTGTGATTTCTATATGCATAATTGTCCTATATGTTCAAATCATCATCATATCTTTAGCTATAAAGCCACTGCAATAGATAGAAAACAGTCCAAGAGAAATCAGACTTGACCTAATTTAGCATTATTTAAAGAAGTTATGACTTTAAAATGATGACTAAGGACTAGCTCATACATAAAATTTGCATTGGTTTAATGGAAGTTGTTATTGAATTGATTTAATTTAACCAGTGCAAGTATCTGACAGCTGGTCAATAGTCTCTGTGAAATGAGTGTGTGTGATGTCCCAGGCTGTGCACCCAGCCCCAGGAGTCTCCAGACAGCTGCCACATCCTGGCCTCCATCCAATGACTACTAAAACCAGGTGGGCTAGGAAGCTGCGAGGGCTATAGCCCCAGCCAAGGCACCACCAACGGGACCTCTGATTGGAGGCTCACCTGGCTCCACTGATTGGTCCAACTATGCTATTTAAGCCAGGAGAAGGAAAAGGAAGTTTGTCTGAGCAACAAGGTGCTTTCCTGTTGTGGCTGCATTGCACCTTGCTTGTGCCTGCCTCCTGCACCCAACCCTGTTCCTGGTTCCTGCCTTACCACCACCTTTGCTTCTGTTCCCACTGAGCTTGATCCTTGCCTCTCCTTCTGCCCTTCTGCCTCGTCTCCAATCCTCCGTGACCAGTCCTGGCTCCGACCCTGACTTCTGACTTCTGACCCTGACTCTGGCTTGACACCTGACTTTGGTAACTGGCAGTGCTGACCATTGGCTTTGTTCCCCAACCTGTATGCCTGCACTGCCCACTAAACCTGACTGCCTACATCCCAGTCCATAACAGCATGTTGGTCTCTGCCCAGCTTTGTGAATAAGTGTCCATATCCCAAAATACTTCATAACTGGCACCTGACCTCAGCAGAGAGACCAAGAAGTGAATGGTCACCAGAACTGGCCTATCCTCTAAAGCTACTGCTGCACAATAATTAGGGACTTTAATTGCAGTATGTGTAGACATACCCAAGCTAGCTTTTATCTAGTTGATGGCTGAATAGTTATGCACATATCAAATCTTAATTCTCTGTGAGTAAGCAGTTGAGTTATTTTGATTCTGGGTTTCACTTGCTCAGTACAAGAGACTTGACAGAATTACAAAATTCCCATGAGTTAGCCAACTAAAAGGTGTCAAATTTGACCCAAAATAAAATGTTTATAAATGAACAGAAGAAATTATAATGGAAATGTTGCTGCAACCTTAACTACAGCTTTCCAAGAGCAACAGACTTTAAAAAAACCAAAAGAATACCCCCCGCCCAAAAAAATCCACATTTTCTTTGCAACAGAAACTACCACAATATGGCTCCTGTCATATGGTCTTTCTCTAGAACAAAAATGTACCTTGATGATGTAGACTGATGCAGTAACCTTTGCTCACTCACACCAACATCTACAGACAAACTTGAGAAATGTAGACCACAACTGTTGCCAGATATATGTTACTGGAGGTACTTCATCAAACAACTCTGAAGGAAGAATCACACAATCCCTTAGAAAGATAAGGTCCAATAAGAAGTGTCATACTGGAGGAACTGAAAACCCCTCAAACAACTTAATACATTTGAACATGTCAAAGGGTTTGAGGACATCAGTAATGGCATGAATTAGGTCACTTCACCTTTTTATCATTTTGTGTTTGTAGGAAATGTTCATGTCCTTTTCTTTTTTAAAATATCTTCCCTTTCTAAAGAAAGATTGTTGGATTATTACCTTCAGATCTCTCTATAATGAATCAAGTTGCATGTTTTGTTGCTATTTCATATTCAAATAAAAGTGTTACACAAACATCCTGCTTTAACTTTCTATCTAAACAGTAAACAAAATATATAAACAGTAACTGTGGACATCTTGATCCTTATTGTGTGAATGCTTATTTGTTGTCTTTTTAAGTTAAGTCTGAGCAGTTACAGAGCTCCCCTAACAGTAGCTGTGCGTTCCAATCAGATGAGTCAACATGTGCATTATACAGTGCCTCATGTCTCCTGCTTTAAAAAACCCTACACTTTCCATTGGCTCATGGGAAATGCACACACATTAAATCTCAAAGGATTCCAAAGCACTGTGCAAATAGTATATACAGGAGTAATTTCACCCATCACTGAAGTGTATCCAACTGTGGGGTGGAACACGGCAAATATTTAATACTATACAGCAATTTATGACAGAAAGTGACGATGACTACATAAATTCACATATCTAGTGAATTTTCAGGAGGAATTCAGGAACTACTCAAACTTGAAGTTGGACAGGACCCTATACCTATACCACTTCTTTCACTAATAGGATCTTTAGTGAACACATGTGGTCAAGACCTCTGATTTACATTCCATCTAGAAGGCAAAGATAAATGGAAACATGAATTTGGCATTACTGTAAGTAGGGGTCTATCACAGTGGCCCCTACAAGCTGATCTAGGGTTGCCAACTTTCTAATTGCAGAAAACTGAACACCCTTGTCCTGCCCCTTCTCTGAGGCCCCAGGGGATTAGGGGTTTGGGGTACAGGAGGCGGCTCTGGGCTGGGGCCAAGGGGTTTGTAGTGCGGGAGGGGGCTCAGGACTGGGACAGGGGATTGGGGCATGGGAGGGGGTTTGGGGTGCGGGCTCTGGGCAGCGCTGATCTCTTGGCCCATGGGACCTGCAGAACCGGCACTCAGGGTGAGGGCAGTGTGTGAATAATCCCTGGCCGCCCCTCCGCCTAGGAGCCGAACGGACATGCCGGCCACTTCCCACGAGCTGCGTGGAGCCGGGCACGGAGCCTACC